TTTTAAAAAATTAAAAAAAAATTTTTTTTTTTTTTTTTGAGACAGAGTCATACTGTGTAGCCCAGGCTGGCCTTGAACTCACTGTGTAGCTCAGGCTATCCTCCTGCCTCAGCCTTCCAAATGCTGAGATGACAGACATGTGCCACCATGCCAAGTTTTAAAAAAAATTTAAAAAATTTTGGGCTGGGGATTTAGCTCAGTGGCATCACACCTGCCTCACAAGTGCAAGGTCCTGAGTTCAATCTCCAGTAGCCCCCCTAAAAATTTAATTTTTATTAGCACTATTATAAATGGCACATGTGAAAACACCGGCTTGGAGACAGGCTTTTGTAGGTTTTCTTTCTTTCTTTTATTTTTTGGTACCAGGGATCAAACTCAGGACCTTGCACCTGGCATAGCACCACTGAGATACACACCAGGACCTTTGGAGACAGGCTTTCATGAGGGATTAGAAAAGTTTACTCTACTGAACAGAGACTAAAACCAGGGACTAAAATCACTGTTAGATTTTAGCAGCTATCTGGGAAAAGCTGAGTTTATTATATCTGCGTGTGTGAGAAAGAAATAGGAGCACCTAGCCAGGAGAGATTTCATCTGTAGGCGGATGGGCCAACAGCAAGGGAGAGATAGTAACAGCTCCCTGGGAAAGGAATTAGTCTTATATAGGTATTGAAAAGGAGGTTATGATCTGAGAAATATTTATGACTGGTCTCTCAGGACCATCAGCCGGTGTGCAGACAATCCCTGGACTTGCCGGCACCAGGGAGATTGTCTTATGGCTCTATCCTGTTTGCTGAGAAATAGCCTGTTGTTTGCTGAGAGCAGCCTGCTTGCATTGCCTGTTTACCTGTGAAGATCTCACACAGGCCAGGCATGGCAGTACGTTTAGCTGTGTATAATGACTACCCCTGTTGTGGAGAATTGGTACTTGCATGTAACGTACCTTAACTTTTCTAACTTCCCTTTCTTCTCTTCCCTCTTCTTCATTCCTTCTTGTGAACAGCATTCCATGATGTGCTGTCTCACACAGAGCCTGTCTGCTTCTCAGCTGGGGGACTTTTGGCTTGTGCCAGATGAGCATGCTGCTGTGATGTGTGATCATGGAGTCAGTCCTAATTCTTACCAGAGTTTTAGGGCAAAAGCTCCAGCTCTGGGGATCCCAACAAACTGAGCTTGGCCTCCTTCCCATAATGCAGACCAAGGAGGCAGAGCAGTGGTAAAGGGCAAACAAAACAAAACAAAACAAAGAAAACAGCTTTAATCAGCATGGCCATGCTCGGAAGTGCAGAGAGGTTCAAAAATCTGTTTTCCAGGGGTAGATAGCAGCTTTGTGGCTTTGTAGAGAAGGGGCACAAAGGCCAGGGTTGGGGTTTGCCTAGCCAGAGGATTTGCAGAGCTGGCAGCACAGGTAATCTTGGTTGATTGGCATCTCAGGACTGGTTTTACAGGGTCCTGGACGAGCCACTGAGGGTGCTGAGATGACAGCTCCTGGTTAGTGACATCATGCTAGTGTTCTGGGAAGCTTTCCTGGCATCCAGCGCCGCTGTAGGACTAGGATAATAGCTGGAGACTTCTAGGCATCTCTCCAAGGATCTGGCAGCATTGTAAAACACTAGCAATTCGATGCCCCTGCAAATCTTGAAAATTACTTTAGTTACCCTTATCTTGGTGTCCTCAGTCTCGAAGGGGGATGAGATAGGCTAGGTAAATTTAGGGCTAATAAACCTTGTAGTACAGGCACTCCTTAAGTGATTAGCGTGCCTATGTGCAAAGCTGAGTGGGGATTTCATCCAAAGTTTTAAAGTAATAAAGGACATGTATGTAAAATGAAGGCAGAGGTACCAAGCTTTATCCTGCTTTTAGTTACCCACTGGGTAATGGCCCAGCCTCCGGGTCTCAGTTAAGCAATCACTGTGAAGAATTTGTTGATTTTGAGTGAAGATAACAGCCTGCCCACTGACCTCAGCTCCCGCAGCCCCGACTCAGCTGCCTAGGGTCTAGGGGTCCTCCACGGAATCATCCTGTGCCATCAGGCATAGGGAGCTGGTGTTTACCAGGGAGCACATGTCTCCTTCCCCTACAGCTCTCCAGGAAGGGCGGTTTGGGGCAGAGCAGTCGAGGGAGGGCACGGTCACCTCACCACAAACACAGTCCCTTTTGTTGAGCAAGCAGCAGTGTGCAGACCGCAATGGCTAGAGACAGCCTTACAAGGAGTTGTACCTGTGGCTGCCCTAGGCCAGTTCTCTCTACACATGCTTCTTGGCCCTAGTCCGGGGCCACCTCTTTTAGCCTCTGCCCCCAAGTCCTAGGCAGGGGCCATCATATGTGGCCGCTCTGGTCTCTTCTGCACTAAGTTGGGCACGGGGTATTTGGGATCTCTGGACAATAGGGAGCTGACAAGTGAGATACAAATGTCTCTGGTCTTGAATTGTTCCGGGCTGCCCAAAGAAAGAGGGCGAGCTCAGGGCAAGCACTCTAGCTAGCCCGCACACTACAGAGATCTTTCTTGCAGTCCCCTTTGTCCTCATCTTCAGTAAGACACTCCTGGAGCCAGAGAACCAGGCAGTGGTGGGAAGGGCCGAGGTGTCAGGAAGGGCTCTGGGTGGGTGGCTATTTTGTGGGTCCTCACTCTGCCTACACCAGGACATAGGATATAAACCCCCCAGCCCCTGTACCCCATTCAAAAATGGTGTGGGGGAGGGAAAAGAAAGGGAGAGCAGGTTGTTGCCCCTCTTCAGAGCTGCCATACCTGTCTGACCAGCCCCATCCTCTGTTTCCGCCTTTGCCTTCTTGGTCCCAGGTTTGGCCAGGGGCCCATCCTCCCTCCCTCCCTCTGGTCTTTGGACGAAGTCTCTCACTCCTGCTGGGCATGGGTGTTTGCTGGAGTGGGGGTGGCATGCATTCAAATCAGTCTTCCAAAAATGAAGCATTGTTTAAATGGTCTGGAAGAGGGCCTGGTATAAATAGGAACTGGGTGGATTTCTCTCTGCCCAGCAGTCTGAAGGTGGACCCTGGGGAGGAGTAAATCGGGGAGGGGAGGAAATGGATGTGGCCAGTGTGTCCTCTGGGAATCTCTGGATTTGTCCGGCTGTGTCTGTGTGCCTTCCTGAACTTGTGTTGGTCTCTAAGAGGGTGTTTGGGCTTCTCTGTCCCTCTGGGTAGAGATCCTGGCTGTCATTTCTGGAGAAGAATGGGAGGTTCCACATATTGTATCTGCCCTCCCAGTAGGTGGTGCTCCCTCCTGGGCTGGGGGCTGTGTGCTACCTGCCCCTTTCCCCCAGGGATCTGGTAATTGTCATCTGTTTGTCTCTCTAGTTAAGATCCGTCTACTCCCCAAGTCGTGCCCTGCAGTACCTTCCAGAGAACCTGCCCCACCCACGAGATAATTGCAGGTGGAATCTCTGCCTTGGGGACCCAAACCTCCTGCCTTCCACCCACACATTGTCCTGCCTGGCCCCACCCAGCCCAGGAGTGCTCTCCACTGCTCCCCATTCTCCAGCCTCCTGCAGGTGCCTGCCTTGCCCGAACCTGCTCTCCTGACTCACTGGAATAATGGGCTTGGGAGACAGGTGCAGGGCTGCTTCTCCACCTCCGTTGGCCATTTGGGGGCCTGGGAAGAGAAAGAGGGTCCAGGTGGCTTCAGATGACTCACACCTGTGCCACCCGACGCTCCTCCTCCTCCATCACCCTGTCTTACTTCTCAAGTTTCATTTATTACAATGAGAATGACCCCCTCCATGGAACTAGAAGAACAATAAGGACCCCAATACCTCACCCGTTTTGCCCCTCAGCAAGGTCTGCAGTGTCAACTTGGCCCAGGGAATCCCTGGATATTGGGAAGAGAAGAGGGCACTGAGTTGTCTAGGAAAAGTGCTGGGTTGGATCTCTATCTCCCACCTACAGACCCAAAGGGAAGACAGCGTGTGTGTGTGTGTGTGTGTGTGTGTGTGTGTGTGT